TACCAGAAATCAACTCAACTGCTCGACCTCCGCGTGGGACCGCATAGTGATTCGAGTCGATATATTTTACTATACCTAAAATGGTCCAATATTGGAGCGGAGATTGGATTGAACTGTCTGGATAGCTTGAATCAGCCTCAAGCAGGACTCCTTGAGAGGAGTTCTCGATAAAGACGGGTCCCACTTCAAATCCACTATTCACAAAGCCATTATCTGTTAAAAAAATATTAAATTATTTATTAAATATCTAAAATACTAATATTTTGTAATCGACTACATACCTGAATACCATCTTGGACCGTGGATCCCGGTAACTAGAATAGTGTCGACAATAGGCCAACAAGTTATATTGTTACTATTACTATTACTTTGAATTTGTAGGCTCATAAGACCCTTTTTGTTTTCTTGGCTCCATAACGAATAAGCATATGTTTGCCACATTTCGGTCCCTAGTGATTCTCTGAAGAAGAATACTTCAGAAGCACTAGGGCCCGAAACATTTACAGACGTGGAGTTGGCACAATCAGGGCTGCTTGGAGCTAGCGTAAAGGTGAGGACATAATCGTAATTTCCATCCGGCTTGAATGTTTGGTTAATCATACCGTTTGGACCTAATTGCACTCCATGACCGTTTCCGGGTAGAGAAACGTTTTCGCCAGCTGTCACGTACCAAACTGTACCGTTGAATGACCAACCGGGGATACGGTTGGTTTTCGTATCGAGGAGTATGAATTGTGATGTAGAGTTTGTGGTTAGATTTGTTGGTGGAGATTCAAAACCAGAATTCTCAAGTGTAACTGCTTAGTTATATAAAAAGTTAGATCATTAAGGATGGAGATAGTATAAAAGAGCAATGATTTGGTCAAAAGAGGTAAGAACGTACCTTTGGAATACACTAGTGACACCAAGAAGAGCAATTTAAAGATGAGATTTACGAGAGCCATTGCTAATGAAGGAGAATAGGTTGTATATAGATTAAGGAAAATGGCAAGAGGTTAGCTATGAATTTAGGGGAAATGATCGAACATGTTGTATATGAAGATGTAAAGTCAACTCTTTTGTCAACGTGTACCATGATTTTGTTTTTAAAAGATTTATTGTTATACGAAGTCAATGGTCAATGAAGTAAGATCATGGGTTTCGTAACATGTCGAAATAAGAAAGAATCAATAACAAAAGATTAACATTGACTATTCACGTTAGCAAAAGTTAAAGCATGTGTGTGATCATGTCAAATTTAATTACATGGAATATGAATTGCTAATTTAGGACTATATGTTGGTGATTTTAGTATCTATCACTTTTATTTTGTGTAAATAAAATTAACATAAGTATCAAAAGAGACTCAAATTATGATCTAATACAAGCCATGCTGCCAAATGCAACCTACTTTGATAAGTTCTTCAAACAGCTTAAGCTGTCTAACGGGTTTTCCAGAAAAATTGCTACTAACTGTTTTAATCACGGAAATTGAACCAGACAAAAAAATTATACAAAAAAACTTACAATAACAAAACTTGCAGTTTTAATTTCTGACCTTTAACGAAACAAAAAAATTAATGCATATCACATGCAATAGTCGCGGATAAGATTAGGAAGACCCTATGACGCAAAACTATACAGGAAAATTATACAACCTAAACCGAATAACTTGAATAACAAAGGGGTCAATTGGGTTTATTGAATTAACCTGAAATATGACCACTCATGTTAGCAGCAGTGCTGATTATCACTTTTAAAATATATCGAGTTTGTTCTTTTTTTTTTTTTTGGTTAAAGGTCCTTTGGAAAGCAATATTCAACATATTAATAAAATATTTAAAACTCCTTATAATTATTTAATATTTAATTGTTAAACGACTAAAAGTTAGAATTATCGGTTGTCTTTCTCTTTTCCTCTAAGTTGATGATTAGAACACAAAATTATATTATTTCTTCCGTATATTTTCAACTAAAAATACAACGTTAAATAATGATATATATGAATAATAGGACATAATTCAATGACTCGTAATATCAGGTCATTTAATCAAGTTTGGTTTCATTCATGCTTTTGTGTAGTTGCATTTGCATGAGTAAGTACCAAACATATGCAACCTGGTTAGATATGAATTATAGGATAATTCAATGACACGTAATATTGAATTTTTTTATCGAAGTTTGGTTTCGTTTAAAGCTTTTGTGTAGTTGCATTGCATGAGTGTCAAACACGCAACCTCGTTAGATATGAATAATAGGATATAATTCAATGACTGTGATATTAATTGGATCATTTTATCAAGTTTGGTTTCATATCATGCTTTTGTGTAGTTGCATTGCATGAGTACCAAGCAACCTGGTTTGGCTACAACCAGTAGAGATTATTGTAACTGGGGTGTATAGTGTACAACTATTATTATTATGGGGGCCATTAATAGAAAATCAATTTTAATTATGAACTTTCTATTTATAATATATATAAAAAAGCATGTTAAGTGGGGTGTATGCACCCCACTAAAACCCTCTACATCCGCTACCGGCTACAACTAAGAAACTCTATTACAATGATTTCATAATTCGGTTTAATTATGTTATTATTGTTAGTGTATCTCACATCGGTGCACCACAATCTCTTATGTCTTTGTACATGTTGGTGTCTCCTCTTTTTCACCATAAGGACTCTTTTAGAGAGTTAATATAAGACTTCACATACATATTACATGGTATTGATACCGGTGTCTAGCAACTTGACACATCCTTGTCTATATATCCTCATCAAGGCTCTGGTCTAGGATCCGTGTTAGTATCCCACATCGGTATGACACGACACAACTTTATAAGTGGGGATGTATATGTTGGAGCCCCTTTTCTCTATAATGGCTCTTTTTGAGTGATAATTTTAGACTCCGCATATATCTTACGTCCATTTATAATAATAAGCTAATATATTTAAATAATAACTGAAAAAGTTTGTTAAATGTGTAGCATTCGATTCCAGGTATTTTCTCTTTGGTCCTTGAAGTTTAAAATATTTTGCAAAATGGTCCCCTCGTACGTTGGGCGTACATTTTGGTACGCTTAGCGTACATGCGCGCCTTGGATCAGGAAGCTTAGCCACGTGCGTTGAGCGTACGCAGCCAAAGACAAAAGGGAAAATGTCACTGTAGCCCCACGAACTTACATGTTTTGGTTTAAAAGGTCCCTTGTGTTATTTTTTGGCTTCATAAGGGCATGAATTAACATTTAATCGGCTAATTTGGGATTTTGACCCAATTCAACAGGTTTCCTTGCCTACTCATCATCCAACTAAGCTAGTGAGTCAACTCACACGACTCAGATTACACGTCAACGATTCACGACCGAGTTGGCTTGCTTGGGCCCTAAGGGTTCAGTGGTCCCCTACTATATAATTGAAGGGTCTGCTGGACAAAACCCTAAAATTTTGTTACCACTTTCGGCCAAACACTAGCCGACAACCGATAATAGAATAATCGCTTTGCCCTTCACTGTCTTTCATGGATCCTACCCCACCACCATCACCAGATACTATAAACTCCAATAACTCGATAAGCTCAATAGACGTGCTTTACTTGAACGATTTGCACACGATCTTCTGTGACTGTGGTGAAAAGATAGCTGAGCAAAAAGGTCAGGTGGAGTGCATGAAGGAGGAGATGGGTCGCGATTACCTTCATTCCAGGGTGGATGTCCTCAACATGCAGCAAAGGTTCGAGAAGGTTGAGAAGCAGATTAAAGCGATTGCACTGTTGGTTGTGGGTGTTGTCATCGTGATGCTCCTGCTAATGATTTTCATCATTCACTTGATAATTAGCAAGTGAATCTCATGGAAGTGGTTTGTAGTGGTATGATAATCTAGTGGTCGTAATCTACTGTTAGGTTTAATGGTGTTTATTGTCATATATGTTATTAGGATTATGTGTGTTCGTTTGTGTTAGTGGTAATCCAGTTTGTGTAGGTAGTGGTAATCCAGTGGTGGTTGTAATGGTAATTTATGGATGTATTTTGAAGTCATGCTTACCTGTAACAGGCGTTTTGGTATGATCTTGATGAAATGTAAAGGGATTAAATGGGTTATAATTTGGTTGCCTTACTTACTGATAATTAATTGTGTTTGGTGCACCAACTATGACAGATGTGCATGAGGTCAAACAAAGGGGTATTTTTGTCAAGGGGTATTTTCATCATTTCCTCTTTATAAGTACTTTACTTCCTTACTCGGCAGTAGCTTTCTTTTTCCCTGTGATGGTTTGCATTCTGAAGTAAAGAGCTCTCGGAATTAACGAAGCGAAAATGGTGAAATGCTCGTGTGGATGTGTCGCCATAATAAGAATTTCTTCCACTCCCTCCAATCCTGGAAGACCCTTCTATGCTTGCCCCACTAAGGTGTGTGTTAGTTTGTTTTATTAGGCGCCTGTAGCCCTAATTTATTTGTTTGTTCATTCTCAAGTTCTCACTCGAAAATTGATTTTGTTAGGGACCTCGTAATGGTTTTATTTGTTGGGTAGAAGAAGCAGACACTAAGAATATGATTTTTGAAGCAGTTATGATTGCAGGTTTGGCTAGGTCAAAAAAGAAGCTTTAATCAAAGATTTGGAAGCTGAAGATGTGTTTATTTCTAAGTTGGATTGTTTTCTTTGGCATAATTGTTTACAAGTTGTAATAGTTAGCAGTTGTTTATTTCCTTTTTATGGAAAGTATTATATTAACCATGTACCTTTATTTTAATTTAATCATAATACAATGGGTAAGTCATATGGGATCCCAAGTTAGATTCGTAGTGTATTTTTTGATAGTGACTTTGGACCATATTCAACTAGAATAAATGGGACCATATTAAACTAGAATAAATGGGACCATACGCATCACTAATGTCAATAATGGACCCCAATACCATGCACGTCCATAACTATAACACACAATCATAAGCACATTGAAACCATTAACATTAATTCGCAAACATAACACCAATCATACAAACATAACACCAATCATAAACACATTCAATACATAACAACATTGAATACATAACAGCAAACATTCACACTTAATTCGAAACATTCTCTTGGCTCCTAAATAAGAAGTACATAACACCAAACATCCACACTTAATCCGAAATTTCTCAGTTGAAATTTAATACCTATTCAAGTTCCATTGGCTTGTCAATAGTGTTGCCTTCCCCATTTTTACCCTCAACCCGTGTAGCAAGTTTTTTCTTGATTATTCTTTCAGACTTCTTTCTTTTCTTGATAATTACCTTCATACCCCTACCTCCTTTCTCATCTTTACCATCCATTGCCTTCTTACCACTGCTTCCTTCCCCAACCTTACCTTTACTGCCCTTATTAACCCTACTTACTTGCTCATCTGTTACATCCATTGACTTCTTACCACTGCTTCCTTCCCCGACATTACCATTAATGCCCTTATTACCCTTACTTCCTTGCTCATCTGTAACATCCTTTGCCTTCTTACCACTGCTTCCTTCCCCAACATTACAATATGCTCTCTTCCTTTTCTTTACCTTGAATTTTGTTGGCTTTTCAGCTTGAGAACATGTAACCTTGTTATGTCCTGCTTGCTTGCATACACTACACAAAAAAATTTTCCCAACCTTTGACACAGTATGTGTTGCACCTTTTTCACTTGCATCCTTTCTTCTATTGACTTTTGGTCTACCCGGCATTTTTTTCTCTTTAATGGTGGCAAAGGTGCAATGAATTCAGTAGGTGGCCACATGTTGCTACCATTCATCCCACGTATTGGATACTTGTAGGTGTTCTTATAAATTGCTCCATTGTACATTGGATCCACATAATTACCAACATCACTATTAAGGTATGAGATTGTTGCAACTGAATGCACACATCCATACCCATTTAGTTGCCACACTCTACATGAACAGGTCTTCTTATCTATATCCACAACATAAGACTCTGCCAAATTTCTTGTTTCAAACCGGTTTAAACCAGAAGGTAAAACCTGCCAATACCTGTTTCAATTGTATACAAGTTAGGGTTTATAGTGTAACTAATCAATTAAAATTCAAAGACAAAGGTAATACTTTTGAGCTCTTTTCAATTGATTCAATAGGATTGTAATAGTTGGACATGGTTTATAATCAGGCCATGAACAACCTTTGATGGTCAGATTGAATTGCCTCTCCATAACATACAACCTAATTTCTTCTAACATTGTGATTATTGGTTTTTTTCTTGCATCTCTAATGACATTGTTAAAGCTTTCAAATAATCCATTTTCAACTGCATCACACATCCTCCTCTCTTGAAAGAAAGCTCTACACCATGATTTTGGGTTCTTTTCCATAAGGTAATCAAATGCTGTAGGATTAAGTAGTTGTATTTCCTTCATGGCTACATTGAATAAAGGCTCCGTTGATGCTTTGCATGCCTTCCAAAACATCCTCTCATAATGCACACCACTGAATCTTTTCCTAAAGTTGGCAACAATATGCCTTGCACACTGTCTGTGTTCAACAGTAGGCAATACTTCCTTCACAGCCTCCAATAGCCCCTACACAATTTAAATTCATCTGTTAAGAAAATAGAAATTCATTAACAAAAAATATTAAGGTGTATAGTAGGTGATATACCTTATGTTGATCTGACATCAGGGTTATACCAAAACCATTTTCCATTTCTAGATCATCTTTAAGATTCTCCAAAAACCATTTCCAATTTTCTTTGTTTTCCACACACACAACTGCCCATGCTATTGGGAAAATATGATTGTTAGCATCTCTTCCTACGGCACATATCAACTCTCCACTACATAATCCCTTTAAGAAACAACCATCCACTTTTATTACTCTTCTACAACTGCCTTTCCAACCTTGTTTCAACCCCTCAAAACATATATAAAACTTACTAAAATATGTCTTCCCATCAGGCATATTGTTGACATCCATTTTGACAGTTGATCCTGGATTGGATCTTCTTATCTCTTCACCATATGACCAAAGCTTGGCATAATGCTCAACTAGTGTGCATTCAATTAATTCAATTGCATATTTCTTTGCTCTTCTACACTGTCTCATACTCACATCAATTCCAAATTTTTGTTTTACTTCTTCCTTTAGTAGCCTAACACTCATTTTTTGTTTTTGTAAGAATTGTGTTGTGAAATGGCTACCAATCCATGCATAGTTTACAATTGACCCCATTTTAAAATTTCTTGCACAATTATGCTCATCTATAAGAGACTTAATCTGGAAAGATTTTTCTTCACTCATCCATGAAGCCCACAATCTAAACTTGCATTGCCCTGAACAACATTTAACTAAAAGCCTCCTACTATCATTTTTTTGTAGCACAATTGATACCCTTTAGCAACATCATAATTACACAACATATGTTTTAACTGTTTAGGACTTTCAAATCTCATTCCTAACACAGGTTTTTGATTTTTCCAATGAACATTTTCATTAAAAGCTGTTACCTCCTCATGAATTGGCTCGTTTTCATCCATCTGATCATATGGATACTCACGAGATAGATCCTCATGAGGTGGACTGTCTGGAGTTGGATGCTCCTTGGGGCAGAGCTTGTTCAGAAATACATCATTCAAGGTCTTGTTCATTGGAATGCAATCTCCATCTTCAATGTTATAGTCCAAATTACCTTGCACTTGCACTTCATCTAGGTCAATTCCTCCTTCTGTCTCAACATGCAACTCTTCTATTACTTCACCTACACCAGAATACTTGTCCTCGGGGGTGCATACTTCAGCCATCTCATCAACAATCCATTGATGAACATTAACACCAACATGATCCATGTACACAGAAATTACACAACCAGAATCATACCCTACTTCGATCAACTCCTGGTAATCTATCTCAGTTGATATTAGCCTCAATCCTTCAGGGAACTCAATACCGGGCATGCAAAAGTACACATCAACGCATGTCTCATTTGAGAATCTTTGAATGAACAATAGAAATTCGTTTTTGTCCATTCCAGCAAAATCTACATCCTCAAACCTTTGCTCAGCTCCATTTGAGTAACTGATCACTGGATACCTCGTAAACAAACCAGCAAAATGAAGATCGATCTTCATGTAGACGGCCATATTAAGAATCCAAAATACTTTTTTTTCGATGAACAGTAGAAGAAAAGAGAAGAAGGGGTAGATGAAACCGAGTCAAAGAACATTATTTCTTGCAGAGGAAGGGTTGGTCTCATTTATCGATACACGTATACGTGGCATGTGATTTGGACATATGAGGTGGCTTTTTTTAATGACATGTCGAAGAGAAGCTGCTGATTGGGATTGGGGTCACCGGGTGACCCCTTTCACTTTTTAGAAAATGGCCTTATTAGCCAGTTAAATGTTAATTCATGCCCTTATGAAGCCAAAAAATAACATAAGGGAGCTTTTAAACCAAAACATGTAAGTCATGGGGCTACAGTGACATTTTCCCAAGACTAAACCCTAATTTTTCGGGCATCAGCCCTATTTAAGAACCATTATGGCCTTTGGACGCTTACCCTTACCGGCCTCCACTGTTATTCACAGCCAATTAAACCCTAGTTTACCCTTTTAAGTGATTCTTGAGCTTGGAAGTGACTTTTGTGGCATTTTGGTGTGTTTTCAAGAAGAAGAAACTTGAAGATCAAGCATTTTGTTGAAGTTAAGCTTCTAGATCTAGAGTCTACATCAACTTAGGAAGCTTTTGAAGCTAAAAAGTTCTTACCTTGATGATTCTTTTGGTTGTTAGAGTTTAGGGCTTGTTTATGAGTTCATTTTGGTCCCATGGGTTCTTTTGTGAGTTTGGGCAACTTCAGAAGTTAAAAGTATTAGATCTCAGTCCCTTTGATGTTTTAGATGCATAAAAATGTCATCTTGGTGGTTGATATGAGTCATGCATGAATTTAAGTCCTTAGTGTGAGCCTTGTTGGACAAAAATGGATGTTGGGTTCCATTAACACATGCTAAGGCATAAAGTTGCCAACTTTATGTCTTAGAACCCCATAATGGTTGAAATCTAAAAGTTGGATCGAGTGGTTGTAAGGATTAAGCACCAAATGGCTTAAGGTGGTAAGCAGCTTAGTACGTTTAGCGTACTAAGGAGTACGCCGCAAGTACTGGCAAACGGACAAATACGCCAAGCATACGGAGAGTACGCCGAGCGTACGCCTCTTAGTGAGCTTTTGGACGTTGTTGGGCTTGGGACTTATGGGCCTCGGTTAGTTTGGGTTTTAGCATGTTTAGGATGGATGAGATTTGGAATTATGTTAGTGGGCCTTAGGATGTATGAGTTGGGCCTTGGGGCCCATTATTGTGTTTTGGGCCAAGGTTGGTTAGGCCCATTATGGGAAAGGTGAATGGGCCTTTATCTTAGGAGTTTGGACTAAGGTCTTAGGCCCACGAATCCACGATTATGGTTTATAACCTATCTCTGATTAAGGTTATTTGTATATGTTCAGTGTGGGATCTTCTGGTTCGGTAGTCGAGCAGTTAGTTATTTATCAGCGGACTGAGATGAGTTTTCTCATTATATCAACGGGTCGAAGGCACCCAGGTCGGCCCATTATTTGTGATATAGGTTGTTAGTTGTATTTGAGATATTGTATGAAAGACCAGGATTTGGCCCCTGACAATTGTATGAAAGACCAAGACCTGGCCCCTGGCAATTGTATGAAAGACCAGGATCTGGGCCCCTGGCAACTGTCTGTAAGACCGAGATTTGGCCCTCGGAAGGAAACTGCTTGTAAGACTATGGTTTGGCCCATCACATGTCTTATTTATGATTGGTATGTGGTACTCTTGGGAAACTCACTAAGCTTTTGCTTACAGTTTGTATTTGTGTTTAAGGTACTTCCGGTACTAAGGGGAAGGGCCCCGACTTGATGGCGCAACATTCACTCCTCACTATTTTCAGCATATTTGATTTTGTACTCTGATGATTTGATATTATTGTTATGTGATGGTTTTTGGAACAATATGATGGCTATAACTCTTGTTTTTTTTAAAATGAAAAAAAATATCCTGATTTTTGGGCTGTTACAAGTTGGTATCGGAGTCTTGGTTTGAGGGATTCGGGCACACACTTTCGGGTTGTGTCAGAACTCAAACTGAGGAAATGATAATCTTTTCAAAAGAAAAAGAACTTGAAATTTTGAAAAATATTCTTTTAAGAAAGAAGGGAGTGCAATGCGTGCAATCAGCTGAGCTCAAGTAAGTGTTTCCCAAGTTACCAATACTTATGTATTGTGATTAGTATGCGTGATATGTGAACTTCATGCTAAATTAGGGCTAAAAATACCTTTAGGAATAATATGATAGAACTGACTGATTTGCATGATGCCTTATAGCTCGATAGAATTTAGTGCATCTATTACTTGGAATAGATATTGAGTCAGTTATTTGCTATGTGTATGCTTTCAAAGTTGTATATGCTTAGGATTGTATAGCCCTAGAATGATTGATTTGGCCTTATTTCCTGTTCTTTGTTTAGTTTTGGACTTAGGGTAGAATCTTCATTCGGCAGTCTATGTGATCCTATTTTGTGTACAACTTGCATACATAGGGCAGCCAACGGTGTTGATTGAGGTTCTTGGTACTGCTAGTGGTGAGGGTTAAGAGTTCCTGGAAGATCCTAGGATGTGTATAATGTGTAGCATAGGTTGTTCTTGGTTGTAGTATGGTAACTTAGAGGAATCA